ATTGCTATGGCTAGTACTTCTAGTACTATGTTGAACAGGAGTGGTGAAAGTGGGCATCCTTGTCTTGTTCCTGTTCTTAGGGGAAATGGATTTAGTTTTTGCCCATTGAGTATGATGTTGGCTGTAGGTTTGTCATATATGGCTTTTATTATGTTGAGGTATGATCCCTCTATTCACACTTTGCTGAGAGTTTTTATCAAAAATGGGTGATGGATTTTGTCAAATGCTTTTTCTGCATCAATTGGTATGATTATGTGATTTTTGTCTCTCAATTTGTTTATGGGATGTATCACGTTTATTAATTTGCAAATATTGTACCAGCCTTGCATTCCTGGAATAAATCCCACTTGATCATGGTGTATGATCTTCTTAATATATTGCTGGATGCGATTTGCTTATATGTTTTCGAGGATTTTAGCATCTATATTCATGAGGGATATTGGCCTGTAATTCTCTTTCTTTGTAGTGTATTTATCTGATTTTGGAATTAGGAAAATGCTGGCCTCATAAAAAGAGTTTGAAAGTGTTCCTTCCTCTTGGATTTTATGAAATAATTTGAGGAGTATAGGTTTAGTTCTTCTTTGAATGTTTGGTAAAACTCCTGGGTGAAGCCATCTGGACCTGAGCTTTTGTTTGGTGGGAGTTTTTTTTTTTTTATTACTGCTTCTATTTAATCAGTTATTGGCCTATTCAGGGTTATAGATTCTTCCTGATTCAGTTCTGGGAGATTGTATTTTTCTAGGAATTTTTCTATTTCATCCATGTTGGCATATAGTTGTTCATTGTATTTTCTTATAATCCTTTGTATTTCTGTGGTGTCAGTGTTTACTTCTCCACTTTAGTTTCTGATTTTATTTATTTGGGCTCTCTCTCTTTGTTTCTTGATGAATCTGGCTAATGGTTTATCAATTTTCTTTATCCTTTCAAAGAACCAGCTCTTGGTTTCATTGATTTTTTTGTATTGTCTTTTTAGTCTCTCTGTTTTTTATTTATGCTCTAATCTTTAAAAGAAAGATAACAATTCCTGACCTTTACCTGTGGTAAATAAATAATAAAAAACATAAAGCACATATGTACATACATCGAAATGATGGAACTTTTCTTTTTTTTATAAATAAATGGGAGATGGCGACGTAACCACGAAACAACGTACATCAAGTTCGACGTAACCTGAGGACTGTCTGTATTTGATATCGTGATTATAGTTTGGAAGACTATTTAGCCTATATTTAGTCAGTGTTAATAGTTGATTAAATTAGACATACCATATTTGCCAATACATCTGATAAGGGGTTAATATCCAAAATTTATACAGAACTTATAAAACAATACCAAAAAATAATCCAATTAAAAAATGGGCAAAAGACTGAATAGACACTTCTCCAACGAAGACATATGGATGGCCAATAGACACATGAAAAGATACTCAGCATCACTAATCATCAGAGAAATTCAAATTAAAACTACAATGAGATATACCTCACACCTGTCAGAATGGCTATCATCAATAAATCAACAAACAACAAGTGGAGAAAAGGGAACCCTTGTGCACTGTTGGTGGGAAGGCAGATTGGTGTAGTCACTGTGGAATACAATATGGAGTTACCTAAAAATATTAAAAATGGCCGGGCTGGTGTGGCTTAGTGGTTGAGCATGGACCCATGAACCAGGAGGTCATAGTTCAATTCCCAATTGGGGCACATGCCCAGGATGTGGGCTCAATTCCCAGTAGGGAACATGCAGGAGGCAGCCAATTGCTGATTCTCTCTCATCATTGATGTTTCTATCTCTCTCTCTCTCTTCTTCTTCTCTCTCTCTGAAATCAATAAAAACATATTTAAAAAATTAAAAGTGGAACTGCCTTATGATCTAGCAATTCCGCTTCTAGGAATTTATCAGAAGAAAACTGAAACACTAATTCGAAAGAATATATGCACCCCTATGTTCATTGCAGTGTTATTTACAATAGCCAGGATGTGGAAGCAGCCCCTGAGTCCATCAGTAGATGAGTAGTATTACACAATAGAATACTACTCGGCCATAAAAAGGAATAAAATTTTACCCTTTGAGACAGCATGGATGGACCTGGAGAACACTGTGCTAAATGAAATAAGCCAGTCAGAGAAAGATAAGTACCATATGATTTCACTCATATGTAGAATTTAATGAACAAACTGAACTAACAAGCAAAATGGAGACAGACTCATAGATAGATCATAGGTGGATAGCTCTGGGGGAGAGGGGGTTGGGCTGGTGAAGGGAATAAGCAAAAAAGAAAAAAAAGAGAACTCATGGACACGAACAACTTTGGTGATTGCAGGGAGGGGAATAGAGGTGGAAAAGAGTATAGGGAGGATAAGTCGTGATGGAAAAAAATAAAGAAAAATGCATTAAAATTTAAAAAAATATAAACTGTGATATATTTATACTGTGATAAAAAGTTGATTAAATTAGACAATTACTCTACTGACCTAAGAGTAATGAAGTCATCTATATTTAATACTATATATTTTCACAAAAAAGCAAGGTAAAATATATTCTTATTCCAAACAGTGTGTCACAGAGTCAAAATAGACATACAGTGAGGAAAAATTAGTTCTTAAAGAATCATTTGACTATCAAGTACTGCAAGTGGCACAAATTTCTGATGATAAAAGACTGGGTTATTCAGATTTCAAACATACTTCATAACTGCATTACCAAATTCCCAGTTCCCACTATACCTGTTTCTTTCAGGAGATTCCAGATGTCTCTGCATTTATGGATCTGCTCAAGTGCACGATTCAGGAATCTGGTCTATTGGGCAACAATTAACAAAAAATATTAGTCTCAACCAAACAAAACTTTAAGGAAATTAAAATAATCTTGACATCATTTTCATTAAAAACAGTTAAAAATAAAATGATAGTTTAAACTGAACATTTTAGAATTTATATAGAAATATTACCCTCTATTTGTACTTTTCCTTAATGTCTTAGGAAAATGAGTATTAAATAGAAAATCTGAGCATTATCAATTTCTTTAATAATCTAGGTCAGAAGAGAAGCACTTATGCTGGGATGGTGGTGTGAGGAGCTCCATAAACCTTCTTCCCAGAAAAACAACCATAACTGAAAATTGTAAGACACAATCATGTAAAGTCTCAGGAAGTTGGCCTAAGGGCATAGAGCAAATCTATTCCAAGAAATTTACTAAGTTTCAGTTAGAACAGTGAGCACCTATGGCAGTTAAGACATGATCTGCTCACCAACGCCCCAGCTCAGTGAGATGTAAATGCTACTTTAGGTGGGTGTGGCCAATAAGATGGTGCTTCCTCTACCCTCAGCTTCCAGGCTAGAATTCCCAGAGGAGCATGCTGCCACTACCTCTCATCTTCCTTCCCAAGATCTATATTGCAGAAGCTCTATTATAAAACAAGCACAACTGAGAAGCCTGGAGCTCTCTTCCTCTACCTAGCCCCCACTCCATACCAGGCATGGCATACTGAGAATACTAGGTCTCAAATGCCTTTACCTTAGCTTGCGCATAGGATAGGGTTTCCATGCTGGGAGAGGTAAGGCAAGAATGCCTGGGACTATGACTCTTGCCCAGCCCTCAACTCACAGAGCTTGATTGTCACTCTGATAGAAATGGGCCACCGTTCTTGCCTGCAGCAACAAAACAAGGGTACAGAGTTTCTGCTCAGGAGGAGAGGCAGGCCATTAGAAGAGTGAGCTTTGTAGGTTTACCTAAAAGGACTGACTTTAATTGGAAAGAAGCATGGGAGAGTTCAAGTCTAAGGGCATTATAAAAAAAACATAGAGATCTTGGTGTTAAACAATTAAGAGGTGGCTGGTAGCTCAATGATATCAACAAGCAAAACAGTAGACCAGCTCTCATAAAGAGAACCAAGGAAAGAAAAAGCGAAGAAGATTCCTTCCCCTTCAATTTGTGCCTAAGAGCATTTTCAAACACACACACACACACACACACACACACACACACACACACACACACACGAGTTATGACTAATAGCTGGGTGTGATAACAATAGAAAGACATTTAGAAACTTAACAGGGAGGTCAGGGAAAGAGATGGTAAAAAATAACCTTGCTAAAAACCACTTTCATCCCTTTGGGGAAGAGGGGTCAGGGTGACTGCACGGGCAAAGATTGTGCCCTCTGAGGAGTGATACAGCTATGGAAAATAGACTTCAATGAACTAGAACAGCCAAGTCACTAAACAAATTAACAAGCAAATATTAACAACAAGTCCCAGAAGGGGAACCAGTGTTCAAAGATATATATATATATATATATGATGTTCAGTTTTCTACAAAAAAATTATGAGATATGTGAAGAAACAGGAATGCGTGTCTCACATGCAGGAAAAAAGCAGGCAACAGGAACTTATTTTTAAAAGGTTCACATGTTGAACTGAGCATACACATATTTCAAAGCATTTATTTTAAATATGTTCAAACAACTAAAGGAAACCACACAAAAGGAAGAATGTCTGATGACATTGCCTCAGCAAATATAGAATCTCAATAAAGAAGGCAGTAGGATAACACAGTTAACATGATGAAAGAAAATAACAGTAACCAAGAATCTAATATCCAGCAAAACTATCTTTCAGAACTGAAAGCAAAATAAAGAAATTCTCCAATAAACAAAAGCTGAGAGAATATGTTGCTACCAGAATTATTTTTACAAAAAATCTAAGAGAAGTTCTTTGGCTGAAAACAAGTGACACCAGATAGTAATTTGAATCCAAATAACAAAATAAAGTCCAATGGTAAAAGTAGCTGCATAACTATAGGAGACAATATAAAGATATATTTCATTTTTCTTCTCTTAATTTTAAAAAAGCAATTGTATAACACTATATACAGTTTTTATACCTAATAGATATCCATAAATTTCCACCAACCCAAGAAGAAGACACATCCTTCTAAAGCACATATGGTGCTAGCTGGTTTGGCTCAGTGGATAGAACGTTGGCCTGTGGACAGAAGGGTCCTGGGTTTGATTCCTGTCAAGAGCACATGCCTGGCTTGCGGGCTCAATCCCTAGTAGGGGGCAAGCAGGAGGCAACCGATCAATGATTCTCTCTCATCACTTATGTTTCTATCTCTCTCTCCCTTCTCCCTTCCTCTCTGAAATCAATAAAAACATATTAAAGCACATATAGCACTTTCTTCACTACAGACCATATGCTAGGCCACAACACAAACTTCAAATAAACTTAAAGTATTTTGAAGTCTCACAAAGTATGTACTCTAACCACAGTGGAATAAGATTAGAAATCAATAAGGTAATAAAATTTTGGAAATTCACAAATATGTGGATATAAAACAACAGATTCTTAAGTAAATAATAGGTCAAAAACTAAATCACAATGGCCTGGCTAGTGTTGCTCAGCAGTTGAGTGTCGACCCAGGAACCAGGAGGTCACTGGTTCCATTCCTGGTTAGGGCACATGCCTAGATTTCAGGCTCAATCCCCAGTAGAGGGTCTGCAGGAGGCAGCCAATGGATGAGGTTCCTCTTTCATTGTTGTTTCTATCTCTCTCTCCCTCTTCATTGCCCTCTTTTTAAAAAGCAATGAAAACATATTTTAAAAAATCACAATGAATAAAAAGAAAAATGCAACATACCAAAACTAATGGGGTGCTGCTTAAACAGTATGCTATGGTCTGAATGTGTCCCTCACAAATTCCCTAACCCCCAAAGGTGAAGGTATTAGTAGGTGGGGCCATACGGAGGTGGTAAAGTCATGAGAGTAGAGCCCTCATGAATGGGACTAGTGCTTTTATAAGAGATCTCTAGTCCTGTCCACCATGTGAGGATACAGTAAGAAAGTGCCAGCAATGAACCAGGAAGATGGCCCTTACCAGATAATGTGACTAGACTGGCACCTTGATCTGGGACTTCCAAACTCCAGAACTGTGAAAAAGAAATTCCTATTGTTCATAAGCTATGTAGTCTGTGGTATTTACTTATACTATTTCAGACAGACTGAGACACAGTGCTTAGAGGGAAATTCATAGCTGTAAAAGGTGATAATCCAAAAGAAAGAAATATTTCAAATCAATAACCAAACTTCCACCTTAAGAAACTGGAAAGAGAAGAGCAAATTAACCTTAAGCAACCAGAAGGAAGAAAATAATAAAGATTAGAGTGAGACTTAATGAAATGGAAACTGGAAGCATAATAGGATAAAAACTGAACCCAGGGGAGAACCAAGATGGCGGCATAGGTAAACACCGGAGTTTGCTGCCTCGAACAACCACTTCAAAAATACAACTAAAAGACGGAAAGGACATCATCCAGAACCACAGGAAGGCTGGCTGAGGAGAGATTCTTCAACTAGAAGGAAAGAGAACAGCATACCGAGGCTCAGAGGAGGCGCAGTGTGGAAAATACAAAG